GCCGATGCCTCCGTCGCCTGGCTGGAGTGGCCGCGGGGGAGTCTGGAGTCGGGCGGCCGCTGGTGGGAGCCGCGGGTGCCCGGGCCGAGATTGGGGGGGCAAGGCGGGCGACAGAAGGCCGATGCCTCCGTCGCCCGGCCCTCTACAGAATCCACCCCCCAAACCTCCAGGTATTTCCCTCCTTAGAGCTGGCAACCCTACATTCCCCTCAGTGCCTGTTGGTAGGCAACTAAGCTTGGTCCTGTCACCTACTTTGGCCTTTGGGAGAAAACACATTGGGGCCAATCCTGATAGGGTTGCCAACTCCAGATGGGAAATTCCTGGAGATTTGAGGGATGGAGCCTGAAGAGGGTGAGGTTTGAGGAGGGGTGGGACCTCAGACAGGTACACTGCCATAGACTCCACCCTCCAAACCAGTCAGTCTCACATAGGGAACCATTGTTGCCAATCTCCAGGTGAGGGCTGGAGAGCACTCAGTATTACAACTGCTCTGCAGAAGGGAGGGCAGAAGTCAGCTGAAGTCAAAGGGGCAGATAATGGTAGGTTGGTGGCTAGCTGGGAAGGAGATGGGGTTGCCAACTACATGCTGACAAATTCCTGGGGATTTGAGGGGTGGAGCCTGGAGAGGGTGGGGTTTGCAGAGGGGTGGGACCTCAGACAGGTAGAATGCCATAGACTCCACCCTCCAAACCAGCCATTTTGTCCTGGGTAACAATTGCTGCCAATCTCCAGGTGAGGGCTACAGATTACTCACAATTACAACTGCTCTTCAGGTAGCAGAGATCAGTTCCTCTGGAGAAAACAGTGGACTCTGTCATTATACCCTGCTGAGGTCACCACAGCAAATTGACACTGTTTGCCCAAAGCCAGAGCACTGCCCCAGAGCCTCTTTCTAGATCTCGTTGTATTGCTTTCACAACGGGCTTTACTGCTAGTAGTTAGATATTCTGAAATAACGGGTTAAATTGTTTCTTGAGAATTCCTAAATATTTAAAGGTAAAGGTTCCCTTCCTTGAAAGCCAGTCAAATCGGACTCTAGGGTTGCGGTGCTCATCTCCGTTTCAAAGCCAAAGAAGCCAGCGGGGGCGGCAAAGGATGAGATGGTTAGACAGTGTCATAGATGCAACGAACATGAAATTGAGCCAACTTCAGAGGACGGCGGAAGACAGGAGGGCCTGGCGTGACCTGGTCCATGGGGTCGCGAAGAGTCGGACTCGACTGTGCAACTGAACAACAACAACACCAGAATTGTTTTATGTAGAGTTACTTTGAGGATCTAACCAATGTTTACAGTCTACAGTAACTGTTTCAATGCATCATTTTATTATTACAGATCATATGCTTGTCATTTTGAAGGTCTTGAGAAGTGAGATCTCCCTGAATTTTTAATGCAATCCTATTTTTAAACTGAGATATTTGTATCGTGATTTTGGATAGAGGTTGAAACTGAACTCCTCCTTGAAACTTGTTGAAACTGAACTCCTCTGTCTCATTCACAAGAAATTATGTGGGGTGCAAATGTCACTTTTCTTAAAGGAGTGACTTATTAGATATGTTGTGCACAAAATGCAGTAAGTAGAATGTGAACTACTTACTCTGTACATTTGTGTTAGGTAGTTGTGTTAATCCATTACAGCAAAACCCAAAAAGAAATCTTGTGGCAACTTGAACACTGATTTGCAGTGCAATCCTGTGCAGAGAACTGCACTGTTATTGAAGCATAAGCTTTCACAGGTTAGAGCCCCCTTCATCTGATACATGAAGTGTTGTCTCAGTCAGCAGAAATATATATGTGGCAAGGAGGGGGCAGTATTGATAAGACTGGCTAAAAGATTATGAAATCTAGCAGTATACAAGATATGTATAGTGACCATTCACAACATATGCATTTATTTACTTATGTCCTGCTTTCCCCCCCCAGCTGACTCAAAGTTGCTATGTTGTTATTGATATAACACAGGCTACTTACAGTGCAATCCAAAGAAGACAAACCCCCTTCTAAATCCACTGAGTTCAATGAATTCAGAGAATAACTGTTTAGGATTGCACTGTCACTTCTGTTAAACTATTTAACAGCTGTAGAGGCTAAAAAGGCATCAGATTTCTTAGGCAGTACTCTGAGGCAGAACGTTAAGCAGAACTCATTAATTCTAATTCAGCAGTTTATCACTGTTATTTCTTTGAAGTTTTTTGTTGTAGTGTATCAAGTCCCGACAAGTCCGGACAAGTCCAGACATGTCCAGGGACAACCGTGAGCATCGCTCCTAGAGACAATGGACTATGAGGATCCTAGCCCGCTCCAATCAGGGGGCTAGATTCCTGGCCGAGAAGCCAATGGAACTCTCGGCCACTGTAAATAACCTATTGGGAAGAGGGTGTGTGTGTGTGTTTTGGGTGGCGGTTTCTGAGGGAATATAAGCCGGCCTGCGAGCCGGCCAAAGTGTCTTGTTCCTGACTGAATAAAGTACGCTTTGCTGAAATCACTCTCCGTCTGCGTACTTTTCATTTGTGTTGAAGAATCATGACAGTTTGCAATATAGAATTGATAAGGTACTTCCTCATAAAACAGTATTCAGTTTTGTTTGTGTTAAGCAAGGCTAATAGGCAAACAACTCAGGAAACTCTTAGGCCTTCCTTTTGAAACAGCAGAATTCCAAGAACAGTAATCCTCCAGAATGCTGTGCCAAAGAGCTGATTCACATGACACCAAAAAATATCTGTATGCTATTTATTAATGGGTGATAAGAATCTGTCCTACGCAAAGATATTTCTTCAAAAAATGTGGGTTTTTTGGACCTAGATGAATCATCGCATAGGATTTAGAAAATGCAATATAAACTTTGAAAAGTAATAAAACTGCGGGACCAGATGGCTTTAGTGTTGAGTGATATAAAATGTTTAAGAATTAAGTATTACCAGGTCTATAAAAATTTATGAAGCAGCTATCGAAACAGAATGCTTATTTGCCTCTATGTAATTGTTGATCCAGTCCAGTTATTGTAGTGCTGGTGACCTGTATCTTTATTAAACATGGGTTTTAAAATTCTTTCTACAATCTTAAATATTAGACTATTCAAGGTGGGCAGCCGTGTTGGTCTGAAGCAATGCAAC